CCACCCCCCAACGCGCGTGCGCCGCTTCAGCTCGAGAACGGCCGTCGCCCGTGCACCGCGCACTTTAGACGGTGACCGGAGAGGAGGGGGTCTGGCTAAGTCGCCCGAGGCTGGCCTCAACGCACCGTGTTGTAGCCCAGGCTGGCCCCGCCCTCTAGCCCAGGCTGGCCCCGCCCCTGTAATCCTGTGCTGGCTTTTCGCCGTCGTAGCCCAGGCTGGCCGGACGGACCCTGGCTCTGGAGTCCTTTCTCCTTCAGTCTTCTTGGGGCTGGCATTGCCGACCTGGACCGCTATTGCTAGCTCGGAGCGCAACTCCTGCACCCAACATAGCCTTGGCACTCGCTAGGTAGACCAGGCTGGCGCCGAACTCGCTGTGTCTGGCCGAAAGTCACATGCTTAGGCCTTCTCAAAGATCCGGTTCCATTGTGGATCAGTCGTCTTAGATGTTTTTAACCTGAAGCCGGGCAGCGGTAGTGGTGGCGCACGTCTTTAATCCCAGCCCTCGGGAGGCAGAGGCAGGCGGGTTTCTGAGTTCGAGGCCAGCCTGGGCTACAGAGCGCGATCCAGGACAGGCACCAAAACTACACAGAGAAACCCTGTCTTGGGGCGGGGAGGAAGGCTAATCACCTTCCCCCAACCTCCAGCCTGGACAGGTAAATCCCCCACGTGGAAACAATTTATTCCTCGTGGACTCCCTACTTGGGACTCTCAGAGGACGGAGGTAAGAATTCTGAGAAGTCTCCCAAGTCCTTTTCCTGAGTAGAACTGATTGCAAAAACCGAGAAAAATGGAGACCGCAGGTCCGTTCCCCACAGTCGGTCTTGGCACTGAGGACACAGGAGCTGGTGTGACCCCCAAGCTGTGCCCTGCTCTAAGTTGTGTGGAACAGTGACTTTCGGGCCATGTCTTCTCCTGGGTGACACCATTTTACAAGGCAGCAGTTGGCTCCATTCTGAGTGCAGATGCAGGGTGAGCATCTCATGGAGGCACAGACTGGTAAATAAACTATTCCTGCAAGTAAAAAAAAAGCCCGCATGCATCCCGAGGATATAGGTTGGAAACATACAAGCACATGGGTATATTAAAACCATTAGCAAGAGGCTGGAAAGATGGCTCAGTGGTTAAAAGCACTGGCTGCTGCTCTTTCGGAAGATCCAAGTGTGATTCCCAGCACCCACATGGCAGCTCACACCTGGCTGTAACTCCAGTCCCTCTGGCCTCCACAGGCACTGCACACATGTGGTCCACAGACGGATCTGTAAACAAAACACCGGGACACAAAAATAAATTTAAAAAAAAAAAAAAAGCTAGGCGTGGAGGCACACACCTATAATCCCATCTCCATAGTGAATTCCAGGACAGCCAGGGCTATACAGTGAGACCCTGACTCCAAACAAACAAGCAAAACAAAACAAAACCAGTAGAGGCCAGCAAGACCGTTCAGCAGGTAAAGACACTTGCTCCCAAGCCTAATGGCGAGTGTTGGATCCCCGGTTCCCACGCGGTAGATGGAGAGAAACAACTTCTGCAAGTTGTTCACAGATCTCTACACAATTCCTGTGGCACCCTGTGCCCAGGACACCACACACACACACACACACAGGCACACACTAGACAAACAAATTGTTTTAAAAAGTTCTAATTAGAAAGATCAGGCCCATCAACTTAATGAACATACCAGACTAAGGAAGAAGGGTACACTCTCCACACATACACACCCTCAGTCCCACAGCCCCTAAGAGGAAGGACACCTAACTCTGTGACTCAATCTGACCACCAGGTCACATGCACCAAGGGACCCATAGGCAGAGAATGTCAGCTCAGCACAGTCCCTCCCCATTGGTTGATGCAGCACACTTGGGTGGCCATCTTTCTTTCCATATTTCCATCCATCCGGTTTTTGAGATGGTCCTACACCTCGCTCTCGTGGGAGCCATGTCTTCTAGCTCAGTCCTGAAGCTCCGCTAGTCTCCAGCAGCTCTTCGTCTTAGTTATTAATATCTAACCACCTACAGTGATTCTTTGTATCTGTGTCAGCTCTTGGCCTCTGTGTTCAATAGGATGTTCAAAAGAAACTTGATTACCAACAACCACCACCACGGGTGCTAACGAGGGAAACTGGGATTGCTTGGTAAATTGCAGCCAATGAAATAGTCGTAGCTTGCAAATTTATTGTTTTGTTTTGTTTTAATAATTCTGACACGTCGATCTGTGTTTCTGACATAGCACGCGAGCAACATCTGTTTTTGGACATTACCTTTCTCTCCCATTTCCTTAGCTTTCAGATGAAAACTTTGACTCAATGGGCAAAATCCAACCAGAACTAACAAAGGAGGTTGAGCTGAGAGCATCAGGGAGGGAATATCGGGGTGGGTGGGCTTTAAGAAGGACTTTAAGAAGAGCTGGGCCATAGCGGCCCTCACCTATCCCAGCACTTGGGAAGAAGAGGCAGCCTGATCTACAGAGCTGGTTCCAAGGCAACAAAGGGAAGAAGAAAAAGAAGAGGAGGAGGAGGATGCAGCTCTGAAGTAGTTATGACTTACTTTTCTTTTTTTTAAGATTTATTTATTTATTATGTACACAGAAGAGGAAGCCAGATCTCATTACAGATGGTTGTGAGCCACCATGTGGGTGTTGGGAATTGAACTCAGGACCTCTGGAAGAGCAGTCGGTGCTCTTAACCTCTGAGCCATCTCTCCAGCCCCCTACTTTTTTTTTTTTAAGAGTCACCCTTTCAGTCCGGTATGGTGGCACATACCTTTGCTCTCAGCAATTGAGAGGCAGAGGCAGGAGGATCATTGTGAGTCCAAAGCCAGCAGGGTCTACATAGCCAGCTCCAGGGCAGCCAGGTCTACACCATGAGATCTTGCCTCAAAACCAAACAAACAAAAGGAGTCACCCTTGTAGGGCTGGAGAGATGGCTCAGTGGTTAAGAGCACTGGCTGCTCTTCCAGAGGACCTGGGTTTAATTCTCAGCACCCACATGGTGGCTCACAACCATCTGTAACTCTAGTTCCAGGGGATCAGATGCCCTTTTCTGGCCTCCACAGGTACCAGGCTATAGCTTTGCCTCCCGAGTGCTGGGATTAAAGGTGTGTGGCACCACCGCCCGGCTATAGCTCAAATTCTAATTGGTTTTATTAATAAAAACCCAAAACGAGATATTAGAGTAAGTGCTGAAAGATCAGAGAGAGAAAGGCCAAGCCACAGCCACCTCTCACCTCACCAACTCCTCAGCCAGAAGGGACTGAGCTCCTGTCTCCTTCCGCCTTCCATCTCTCTCTCCACCCTGCCATATCACTTCCTGTCTCAGCTTCCCTAGTGCTGGGATTAAAGGTGTGTGCCTCCCAAGTACTGGGAGCAAAGGCAGGAGATCCCAAGTTCTGGGACTAAAGGAGTGTGCCACCATTGCCTGGCTCTGCTTCTCAACTGGATCAATCTTGTGTAGCCCAGCATACTCATAGAGATCCTTCTGCCTCTGCCTCTGCCTCCCAAGTGCTGGGATTCAAGGTGTGCACCACCACTGCCTGACCTCTATGGCTAACTAGTGGCTTAGCTCCATGTTCTGATCCTCAGGCAAGCTTTATTTGTTAGATCACAAACAAAATATCACCACACCAGGCACATAGGTGGTGCACAGACATACAAGCCAGCAAAACATGCACATAAAATACAATAATAAGAAAAAGAGAGAGAGAGAGAGAGAGAGAGATGGCTCAGTGGTTAAGAGCACTGGCTGCTCTTTCCAGAGGACCTGAGTGCAATCCCCAGGTCATGGCAGGTCACAACTGTCTGTAATTTAGCTCCGAGTGATTTGACACCCTCACACAGACATGCAAGCAAAACACCAATGCACATAAAATTTAAAAAAAAATCATTAAAAAATAAATAAAATTACATTTACTTATTTAAAAAAGAAAAAAGAACCACTTTTTTAAAAAAAGATTTATTTATTCTGTACACGGTGTTCTGCCTGCATGTTTGGTGAATGCCAGAAGAGGGGACCAGATCTCACTATAGAGAGTTGTGAGCCACCATGTGGTTGCTGGGAATTGAACTCAGGTCCTCTGGAAGAGCAGCCGGTGCTCTTAACCTCTGAGCCATCTCTCCAGCCCCAAGAATCACCCTTTTAACTGATTGTGGTAAGTCCACACCTGCGAGTGGCAGATTTGAGAAGAGGAGGCAAGAGTTCAAAGCCAACCTCCACTACATAGCAAGTCCAAAGCAAGCCTGAGTTACGTGACAGTCTGACCCAACCACCCACCATGCAGACACAAACATAAAGAGTCATCACTGATTGACTGGTTGATTGATTGATTGACTGGTTGATTTTGAGAAGTTAAGGAAGGCCTGAGCTCCCGTGTTTACCCTGCCTCAGCCCCTGAAGTGACACTATCATATAACCCCTGTTCACAGCCTTTCCCCCAGGCCTCACAAGGCTCTGCAGAGGGAGAATCCCATTTCTAACCTTTGTCCCCAGGCCTGGCAGCTCATTTGGTGAACAATCTCCCAACAGTAGCCAAGGGACAGACATCTCTGTCCAAACAATCCAACCTCTCCTCACATCCCCCCCGCTCTGTACTGTCACTGGAACATTCTGCCAAGTTCCACCTGTCCTGGCTTCATTTTCCAGGTCAGATGTTGGACTGCTCTATCTCTGGCAAAAAAAAAAAAGAGTCATGCCAGCCAGAGGTCCAGTCCTCCCAGGGTCCCTGGTGGCCCGGACAGAGTTGAGGCCACTGCTGTGCAGACCCTGAGCGCTGGCTGTGTGTCCTTCAAGGGGGACCTGCTCCAGCAATGACTTCCTCCTTGTTCCTGGTTCTTTTGCTCCTGACTCCAGCCACAGTGGCGAACCTCAAATCTGCTGGTCCATGTCCAACGTGCTGGGGGGCCACCTTCGACCTGGAGAGCCAGCGGGAGCTGCTTCTCGATTTGGCCAAGAAAAGTATCCTGAACAAGCTGCACCTCAGCCAGCGCCCCACCCCGAGTCGGCCCGTGTCCAGAGCAGCCCTGAAGACGGCGATGCAGCGCCTCCGTGGGCCTCGACGGGAAACCCTGCTGGAGCATGACCCGACGCAGGAATATGAGGTCATCAGCTTTGCTGAGACAGGTGGGTCCATGGTCTGCAGCTCTGACCCCAAACCTGACCCTGGAAAGAGAACATCTCCCAACTTCATTCACTCTGGCTGCCTCTCCCAAGCCATCCAGCTCCTGCCTCCCAGCCCCAGGTTCTCTATGATAGGTCAGGTCCACCTGGTGGGAACTGGGAACTGTTAAGTTTCGTTTCTTCTGAAACTGCTTGTCCTCATCTCCTCTGACACCCGCCCCCCAGAACCCGCGACCCCCAACCCCAAGTGAACCCGCCCATTCCCCAGGCCAAGGACTGGTTACTGGGGAGTCCGTGATTTCTCTGGCCCCAAGATCGATCACTTCCATCTCTTCTTCCTCATAAGTACCCCCATTTATGTAAAAAGTAAAACACCAAGATTATAATACCTCTCCACACCTCAGGCCCTCGTGTCAGAACAAGGTCAAATAGCACTCAGAAAGAGGTGTGCAAGGTAAATGGTAAAGAAACCAGGTGTGATGGTGCACACCTTTCATACCGGCACTCTGGAGGGAGACAGATCTCTGAGTTCAAGGTCAGCCACAGTGATAGGTGAGACGCTGTCTCAAAAACAAAATAAATAAAATTTTTAAAAAATTCAGTAAACCGGGTGAGGTGGCTCACACCTTTAATCCCAGCACTAGGAAGGCAGAGGCAGTCAGATCTCTGTGAGTTCGAGGCCAGCCTGGGTCTACAGAGTGAGTTCCAGGACAGCCAGGGATATGCAGAGAAACCCTGTCTCAGAAACAAGAGTGAAGGGATAAAAGACAGAGGAAAGAAAGCATTGCTTCCACAGAGGAGAGAGCTAGAGAGAAGAGAAGAAATCTCAGCACTTAGAAGCAAAATGCAAGCTTCCTCTTAGGTCTGGGCGACGCCATTCCCCACCGGACCCAGTTCCTTTCCTCTGGTGGCTGGCACCGAATCTCCTCCCTCGACACCCAGCCCGAGCCTGGGCTCCCACTCCTGTGGAGCCACTTCAGCTGAGTGACCTGGGTAGTTAGTAACCAGTTTTCTCATCCGTGAACAAGGACAATGAGAGCACAGCTCAGAGATGTCAGTGGGTTAATGCGCGTAACGTCCTTAGGATG